CCTAATAACACATGACAGGATCACATTTTGCAGATTGCAACCAAGTGGAACCTGGAAAGGAGGTTGCAGTAAAATAAGAGACGAAAGATGAATAGTAAAAGATAGAAATTAAATTATTCAAACAAAGATAGGGACTAGGGATATAAGACATTCCTGGAATCTGATTTTAGAATGAAAAATTAGGCGGTAGCTGGTGTGATACAGTTGGGATGGCATTGTCAAGTTCTAATACTGGCAATATACAGAACAAGAATAGTTTATGGTTGGTAACAATGTCCAGACATCATGTTCCATCTATTCAATCAATTCTATATTTCCTAAACTCGGCTTGATTGGTCGATCAATTTGAAAATTCTCGACTTCAAACCTGGTCTAGAAAAGGTTTTAAGATGAAATGGTTTTGTTAATAATTTGAAAACATGATAATGATAAGAAATATGTTTTAAAAAAATTTAATTTTTTATTAAAAATTATTTTTTATATATTTTAGATCGTTTTAATATATCAATCTCAAAAATAATTTTAAATAAATAAATAAAATTATTTTGATATATTTCCGGAAAAAAAACACTTTAAAACCCAACCACAATTATATTAATCAAATTCAATACTATAAATTAACTTGGTTAAACTTGGTTTCAATCCAATTAAGTTAATATTAAAAAAAATTAAAAAATTAAAACTGGCTTTGTGCCTCTTGTAAAGCTAAAGAGGATCAGAAATATTCGGGTTTTAATATTGGACCGACTCTATGGCCATCCTTTACAGTAAACCTAGATGATCCAGTGGGAACTCACAAATATAGCATAGGGGTGTTTGATACTGAAAAGAGTCTAGTTTTTTTAATACAAAAAATGATTTCAAAAGCCCAATGAAATTTAGCCCAGTATAAAATGGACCCTCGTTCGGATCCATCAATTCCAAGACACGTCAGAGGCCCAATGGTTCCCATGAACAGCAAAAAAAACTCACAAACGTCCACGTACCCTTGTTTTATATATTTTTTAATAAAGGAAGCAGATTTAGAAAAGTTATTTCCCTGCCTTGTAAAAAAATCCCATGCTTCGTTGCTGACCTTGTTTTAGTAATTGTCTCTGCTTAAAGCTTAATTATAAAATCATGGCTATATCTACGAGTTAACTTAGAATCTAAACCAATTTAATTTTTTTTTAAAAATTAATCTGATAAAAAACTCGAACCTATTTAAATTTTCATTGATTATTTATTAAAAATATTTAAAAAATAATTTTTTTAAATAAGTTAACCTAACTTATAATTTAGACTTTATACGATATTAAATCTTAAAACCATGTTAAAAAGACACGCAGTGGTCAATGGAGATGGATTTATAAATAATCTCAATTTCCATATATTTAACAAAGCTCGAGTAAATTTTTAAGTAAAAGCTAGAGAGAATTATTAACAGGAGATCGAGATTGGTCTCACCTTGGGAACACATATTTTAAAAGTTTTTAAAAAATTATTTTTTATTAATTTTAAATTAATATATTTTTAGTATTTTAAATTATTTTAATATGTTAATATAAAAAATAATTTTTAAAAAATAAAAAAATTATTGATATATATTTTAATATGAAAAATTATTTAAAAAACAACCACAATTACACTCCCAAATATTAACTCAATAAATTTTTAAATTTAGAGTTTGAATTAGACAAATATTTAATTAAATTAAGTAAGATATTGATACAACAAAACTCAAATAATTCAAGCAAATTTGTACTTAATTTTTGTTACATTTTAAACTCAATCGGCCAACTCAAGAAAAAAAAAAACTATTTTAATAAAAATAATTAATCTCTATTGACCTGTAACTCGTGTTTACTCGATATGGCACTTTTTTTATAGTTGGTCTCCGGGCCGGACGACTATGGTTCTGAGAAGAAAAATATAAGCCCAAGACTGGTCGAATTAATTGCTCAAATGGCCCAACACGCAGGTCCTTTATTCCTTCCTCACTCTTATCTCTATCTCTGCTTTAACCAAGCCCAGCTCTGAGTGGTATTTCCGTGAATTACTTGTTCTTCCTCCTCTGTTCCAAATTTCTCTCTTCTTCGATTCACTTTGGATCTCTCACTTCTCTTCCGAGACGAAGAGAGACGGAGAGAAGTTAACAGCGAGATGACGTTGTTTCACTTCTTCAACTGCGCGATTCTCACCTTCGGCCCCCACGCCGTCTATTACTCAGCCACTCCTTTGTACCCCTCTCTCTGAAAAGAACCTTCCTAAATTCGAATAATCTTCTTCCTGAAAAACCCATTATAGTTTCTGTTTTTTTTATTAATTTTTGTTGAAATTTAATGTTTGCAGGTCCGAGTATGACACGCTCGGTACCTCTATCAAAGCTGCTCTTGTTTATCTCGGAACTGCTCTAGTTAAGGTTTGTAGAGTTACTTGGTATCTGTAATTTCTTGAATTATTTTTATTTTTATTTTATGAATTTAAGGTTGGTGTCTTTTATCTTAGATTCTTGTATGTATGTTGGCAGCTGGTTTGCTTGGCAACGTTTCTTAAGGTGTCCGAGAATGATAGCTTTGATCCGTATCAGGTTCTTTACATAGCTTTATTTTTAACATTTTTGAAGTTGAGATGGAGTAAATTATATTTTTTTTGTATTAGCTGAGTTTTGATGTATATATAAGAAGGCCAGACGGTGTTAGAGTGGAAATAAAATGATTATATGTCGACCCTTGCATTTTATATGGTTAGATATGAAAACCCTTCTGTAAACAAACTTATTGATGAACAAAGAAGAAGTTTTTTGTTGTATTACTATATTCTTTCGCGGCTGTTGATCAAGTTTGGTGTATGAAAAATCAAATGATGTAGAATTTGATTTTTTTTCGCTAGTTTTTTGTTTGAAATTCATCATTTTGTTGAATTTGACTCGTGAGGTGTCTAACGTGTACATGAACCTTCCTTTCGTGCTAGTTCCACTTACTATCAAATGTTCTTCTCTGTTCTGATAACGTGTGCATTCTGATTTGTGAATCACTTGTCACCAACCCCACCTATATGCAGGAACTACTGAAAGCATTGATTGGATTTATAGATGTTGCTGGGCTATACTTTGCCTTGACCCAGTTGACTCACAGGAACATATCTCAAAATCATAAATTTCAAGCTGTTGGACTTGGTGAGTTTGTCCGAGTCATTTCATTTGAATGGCAGCATGTTTTTCCCTAAAACAATTAAGCTGATTTCTAATGTTAAATTGATTGTTAGTTTCTTCTCCATAATCTTACATGAGATTCTTTTATATCATGCTATAGTTTCTTTGAAAATTTATGGCCTCAATTTGTGGTATACTTCTTTAAGGAGAGGGGGGGGGGGGGGGGGGGGGGGGGGGAGTTGTGTTTAGACTGTTTCCTCTTTTTCTTTATGAACATTTTTTGACCCTTTCCTCTCGTTGATCGTAAAACTTGGGAATTTCTTCAAACCACTTTAGGATTTCTTACACAAAAATTTATAAATAAGGGTGTGATATTTATATATGTTGTGCATAGTCATAATCTCTTCTCTTCATGCTTCCTTTAAAAAACGAGTGAATGAAATCATCATTGTCCTTTCCTTTTCGCTTGGCATTGGTTATGCGATCTTAATCCTCATTAACTTAACAACACAATTTCCCCATTTGCAGGGTGGGCTTTTGCTGATTCTGTTTTACATAGACTGGCACCTCTTTGGGTGGGAGCTAGAGGACCAGAATTCACATGGGATTTCATTCTGCAAGGCCTTGAAGCAAATGCAAACCTGGCACGTCTATTTTCTTGTTTATCTCCTTTATTGCTTTTCATATCAGTTGCTGAGATTAGTTCGAAACTTCAAAAGAACAAAAAAAAAAATGGGATTATATGTGTCTGATACTCATTTTGGAATTTTTTCTCTTCAATGAATTTCAGGTGTTGAGTATATCCCTTGCTGCTTTGGGATCTCTGATGTGGCTTCGGAAAAATAAGCCCAAGACTTTGATTCCCATCATATACGCATGCGCAGGAATTGTGGCCACCATGCCATCCATTACAAGGTCAGCTACTCACCTGTTGTTCATAGCGTATGGCCAAAAGGTCATCTGTGCATGTGTGTTTGTTTATTTTTTTACACAATCTAAATTAAAACTTTAAAGCAATTTAGGAATGTGTTAGATTCAATAGTCACCCTACAATTTAAGTGTGTTTGAAATCAGAGAGACTGGATGCCACTAGGTCCATGCATCTAATATTTCTTAAAACCCTTTTAGAAGTCTGATATCCTTTCTCCTTGAAAACTATTTTCTTTTGCAAGTGTAATGAAATTCATCCTATAGTTTCATTACAACCCAAGGATGATTAGCAAAGAAAGCATCATGTGGTTTGTATCTTTATGGTTTCACTCTTGTGCGTCTGGAAGAGCTTAGTTTTTCATCTATTTTGCTAAATTATGGCTTTTGCAGCTACTTGAGAAGAGGATTGGGGTGGCATTTTCCAAAGGTTGTAGGCTTTGAACTGTTCACATCTCTTGTGATGGCTTTTATTAGCTGGCAACTCTTTTCTGCATGTCAGAGACCCTCTTCTTGAGGAAATCCAGTATGTTCTCCAACAGCAGATAGTTGGCTGAAGAAAAGCTCTTGAAGCATATTGAAGGAATTGCTTGATCATATTACTGTCAGTTACCACTGCCAATTTTTGCCCCGGGAGGTTGTGATGTTGCTTTTAAATTGCAGTGTCTTCTATATTAACCTTTAGAAATTACGGAGAAACAATTGACTTCCACTGTGACTCCGTTATCTGCAATCGCAGAAAAAAATTAGCAGCGTTTTTTTATTAGTGATTCAAATACAATGGAACCAGTTGCTGTCTGTATTTTCTTGGGACTTGTTTGTCCGCACATGACTCGAGGAAGGATTGATATTGAAGCCTTGGCATCCATTTATTTCACCAGTTCAATACCATGAAATGGGACTTTAGCCTTCGTTGTTCAGGATGATAACAAAACTTGCATTACTGGGTAATTGATCATCTTTTTTTCTCGGGTAAAGGATGGCATTGATTCACATCTAAATCAAGGTATGCCAGAAGTTTTGAAGCAAATATATTTAGTTATACACTACATGTAAAAGATTGACAAATCAACCAATGTCTAGCGACTCTAGCCGAACATGATTCTTTTGCTAGTTAACTAAACAGAAGACTCACTCATTTTCCTCATACCACGCTTCAACTCGGAGGAGTACAAACCCAACAGCAACCCCAACCAAAACAAGGCCATTCATGATTGCAGCAATCCTGAATATCTCACCCACATCGCCGCATTTAGAGGAGAGTGCGCCTCCATCTCCTCCTTTCCCATTTGATGCTGCTCTCAATGAGCTAATCACCTTTGCAAAGCATTGCTCAGTGGACACAGGCATGTTCAGAGAAAGCACACTGTTATGGGCTTTAAGACCCCCATATGAATTCATGCCCCCCAGGTAAACCACCTTGCTCGTTCTCTTGGGGATCTTGCTGCCAAAATCCACGACTGCACCAGTGATTGTTGCAGGAGTAAAGGCAGTGGCTGTTGTTGCCATGTCTGCAATGAGCACAAGTTAGAGGTTACTTAGATTATGAAACCTTCAAATGAAGTAGAGGGGTTAATGGGATCACCTGTATCCTGGATTGGAAAAGCTTGCAAACAAGAAGAGGAAGGCACAGAAGAAAGTTTTTGTAAAGGGATGATATTGGATAAGGTGAGAAATGATATGATTGGCTGACACATAAATGAGATGAGATATGGGAGCCGACCCAAAAGTGGATCTTCTTTTAGGCTCGAAAGAGACTCTTGAATGGGAAAGCATCTTATTGAAGGGGAAAAGGGAACTAGAGCCGAAAAGACGCAAATACTGATGCTAACGTATGTATTCTGGAGACCATGCAAGCCCATAAAAGACTTCGTGACTTGGCACCTATTTTGTCGAAATAATAGCCCATAATGTGTAATTAATTGTTCGAGACTTGAATGGGCGTAGCCCTTGGCCCCTTTCCCCTAAACCCAGTATATGAACTGGCAACACATAGTGAACGAGGGCAAATGCAGCCCACCATTCTTTCATGGTCAAGCTATTGCGAGAGGTCTCCATTGATACGGCACAAATTCTTCTCGCTTGTGAATTGGAAGTGAAAGATGAGCGTGGCAAGGCTAATCAGGTGGCGTCCTTTCCCTTTCTTCTTCTTTTTTTTTTTTTCCTCGATTACTGGAAAATCTAATGGAAAAGCAAATGAAAGCAAATCCTGAAATTTTATTTAATAATTTAAATTTTTAAATTAAAATAATTTTTTAATATAATATTAAAATTTTAATAATCAAATAATTTTAAATTTAAATCTTATAACTTTTATTTATTTAATAAAAAATTAAATATAAAATAATATAAATCTATATAAATTTACTTATAAAATATTAAAAAATAATATAAATTATATCTGAAATATCCTCTAATAACTTAAACTTTTAAATAAAATAAATTTTTAATAAATCCCCGACATAAACTTAAACTTTTTAAATAAAATAGTTTTTTAATAAATCCCCAGGTCATCAACCCGACATCTTATAAAATATTAAAATATAATATAAATTATATCTGAAACATATCTAATGACTTAAATTTTTAAATAAAATAATTTTTTAATAAATCCCCAGGTCATCAACCCGACATAGATGTAACAGAACAGAAGCAATCTAACTATACACATATGGTCTACATGGATCATGAGAAGAACGAGTGGTCATGGAAAACTAGCAATATGAGTTCTAATAGCCAACTTTAAACTTGACACGTGTTATAGTTTACAATACTACGAAGCTTAGCTAAACATCTACATCAGTCAACAACTCAATTGAAACAAGAATTGAGTAGTTTTCATTCCCAGATAACAGGCGTGAGCTCGCTTCATCCCCTGATTATCCGCAGAAGAAACGTTTGCTAGAGAGCACGGAAGATATTAACATCCAAGACAAAAGAGTTGTTCATTGTGCCACTAGGTTCGAAGAGGCACACATCGAACTCCTGTAAATTGTTATCCAGTGCAAAACTCTTCCACCCAGAAGAAAGACCTCCACTGTTCTTGGATTTATAATATAAGAAGTTGGTGTTCCATGTATTTTCTTTCACACGAAGAATCACAACTTTTTTTTCCAGGGTTCTGAGATGTCTAGTTGACCATGCTGAAGGGATTACCTGAATGAAGCAGATCAGCAAGTATAACAAGTAAGACCAAACTTCAAAGCTTCCAATCAATCCTGACAATGGAAACAATTGACACTTACCTCTGGATAAAAGAAACAGCGACAGGGAGATAAAACAGTGAGAAATTCGAACATGCAATAACTGAAAAAGATATTTGTACCATGTAAAATTTTCTGTATACATGTGTCGGTTTCATAACCACAACGAAGCCCTCGTTGGTTTGTGCTGTTTGTGCTAACCGCAATGCATTGAGTTTGTCTTGCTCTGTTACCATCCTTATACTTGATACACATGCCGTGCCGATAGGTGTATGCTGGACATCTGATTCATTAACAAACCATAACAATTTAAGAGGCAAGGTATCCCATCACTGCACAATTCTATGCATCTAGCAACGCAAAGAAACTTCATTAACGACCATACACTTCACCGCAAAGTCAGTTAATCAATAGGAGTAGCAAACAATGAAGAAAAAAAAGAAAAGGCAAGCAACTTATTTTATTTTTACATTAGTAAGGCAAGCTTAGAAGATGGAAGCTTAGCAAGGTGTTGGATCAACCGGCAATACTTCTTATACCCAGAGCACCAGTAGATTGCTATGCGAACAAGTCTAGTGAGTGCCAAAGGGCAGTGAGCCATTATTCATTCATTATGCGTAGAAACTAGGACTTACCAGGTTTCGTTTCTATTTCCTCGGCAGTAGAAGAAGCTCCTTCATATCTCACTCTCTTCCTAGTTTGGATAGGCTTACTAAACTTGATTTCCCTCCGAGTCTTTTTGTTAATAGCTTTTGAGACAACACTGTTTCTTACAGGAGTTTTGTAAATGTAACCATCTGCAGATTTCTCTGGAGTGCCTCCAAGACCATTATGGGGGGAGGCATTAGTAACTTCAACAGAATCTTCTACAGCTTTCCTCTTTGTTTGGACAAAACTGTCGCCTTCTCGGTGCCCACATTTTCTGACAAAATACGATGCTGCTTTCTCACAGAAGCTTTGTCCATCAAAAATTAGAACGTCAAAATATGACTCCCCATTGTACTTAAAGATCAATAAATCCTTTTCCTCCAGAAAATGGTCCTTCACAAATTCTTCCCAACCATGTTTGAAAAACATGGTGTTATCATCTGTAGTCAGTTCAACTTGCCATGTGCTGCCACTAGGACCTTTAAGAGTCACGCTTTCAAGCAGTTTGTTCTTCAAATGATTAGAAAATTTGTCAGGGATCGGCTGCAATTTAAACAAAAATAGGCAATGTGGTCAAACATAATTTAGCATGATGAATAAAAAATGTGTCGGCCATGATCACATACCATTCCATATCCTTGGTGAAAGTTACAAATATTAGTTGTAAAATAACATCACATGAACATTTACGTTTCTACAACTTCAAATTTATTAAGGCCAAAATGGGATAGCCCAAGAATTCAAGTGCTAAAATCTGCGTATGAAGTCTACAAGGAAGCTAAGAAAACAGTCACGGGGGCTAGAGGGAAAAGAATATCCACAACCTGGTTCAATTAAGGGACAGAAGGACTAAGATGTGAATCAGGTTACGCTTATCAACATGCAGGATTACAAGCTTTTGGCAAGGGACCACGAAATCAAGTAAAGGAACCTTTTTTTATGAGTAAAATTTTGTTGCGTTGAGTGCATTATGGCAAGAGCAGACTATGTTGCTCATTTCAAGACTTTCCAACTCATTTTCATGCAAGTATTGCGATACAAAACCAGATAAACCATAAAGTTCTTTTAATAAAGCAAAATACAGAACCATCCCTGAAAGCCTAAAACAAAAAACACAACACGAGATCAGAGAGAACCCCGGAAGGCTAAACCCATAAAAATAAAATGGGATCATAGCAAAGAACACTCACAAGCTGATGATCAAAACCAGCACTGAGAATTTGAAAAAAATGGGTGCACTGGAAATGAGTCCAGTATAGTTCCTCTTCCCAGCTTCTGCAATCTTCACATGTTTCTTCCCCCATTTCTACTTGCTGAACTTACTGCAGTTCTAGAAATTAGAAGTTAACATGAATGAGCTGAACAACGACAGCAATTCAACAACAACAAATCTCCAAAATTAAGAGAGGCAGTAAATTTCTTCATAAGTACTTTCTTTTACTGCATACAAACAACATTGATGGACTTTTTGAGGTTAAACCGACTACTACTGTTTTCCGTGATAAGTGCTTCTGATTACTTTGGGTGAAGGAGGAAAGGAATTACCTTTTCAATAAAAGGAAGGAGGAGGAGAGACACAGAAGGACAGCGAAGGAGACAGTTTTGTTAGAACTTAACTGCGGACAAGAAGTCAGTGCGGAGAGACTTGCAATGAGAAGACAGGGACATGAAACGAAGAGCCAACATGCGTCGCACGCTCGCACCCTTGGGCCTTACTGGACTCTTCGGCTTTTAATAATGCCGTCGCCATCCCCACTAATTCAACATAATAAAATTTAATTGGACATATAATAATGATTCATTATATTTCTATATTTAATTATATAATTTTTAAGGTTATAATATAATAGATAAATTATAATTAGTTAAAGAAAAATAATTAAAATACCTACTTTAATACAACCTGGCTAACATGAAACAAAATCCTAGTGTTTTATAAAGAATAAAGTTTAAGTGGGAAAAAATCAGATTGGATCAAGGTATTATAAATTAGATATATAAATATGATAATAATAACAACTTTTTAATTAATTTTTTCATATGTTTTTAACATTTTTCAAAAAAATAATTTCAGACTTGAAAAACGATGAAAATAAAACTTATCATGTGAAAAAATAGCCATAAATATAGAAGAAGAAAAAAAGAACAAAAGTGGAAGATATTATTTAAAATTTTAGGTAAATAAACCCTAAGTCTAAACCTTGGGCTATATTATTTCTTGTCTTTTATATTTAATTTTTTTCATTTTAAAATATTATAGTTACTATAAATAATATTAATATTAATATTAATTTCAAATCAAGTTATTATCAAACCAAATTGAGATAAATTTATATTTGATCTATGTAATAGGTAAATTAATAAATTCAAATTAGAATCATATTTCATCATAGTCGAATAAGATTTGGTTTAAGATCCATCCATTAATGATCATGCAAGCATTACATGAAAAAAGAAGAAGAAGAAGAAGTTATGTGATGAAGATTAAGATTAATTACGCATGAATCTAATTACAAATTTTTTTATCATAAAAACTAGACAATAAATTTTAAAAAAATACCAAGACCAAAACACTTTTGAATAAGGATCAATTTATAAATGAAAATAAAATGCACGGATTAAACAACCTAGTCGTTTTTGTTAGAGTTTGCAGAGGATATGTAATGGAGTTGAACGATCCCATATAGTTAGTCATTATGTATTGTTGAATAACATAGCTGAAAGAGGTTGATGTATTTGTACGAGAGAGGATGAGAAGGTTCCCCTCAATAAAAAATAAAAACACAGCTAAGAACTATTATATTATTTTTATCTTTATCAAATTGAGAACTATTATATTATTTTTTTATTATTTACGCGGGGTGTCCGGGCCAGCATGACCTACTGAACACCCTACAAACCCAGTAAGCATGTAAGGCACCGCGAGGATAACAGGCATGCACGCCAAGGCTCGAACCCAAATGCAGTGAAAGGAGACAAGCCCCTTCTACTTTCACCACTAGGCCAAACCCTGAAATGCTATTATATTATTTTTATCTTTATCAAATGTTGTTCTTGAAAATCTTGACAGTAAAACCTGTTCTCGAACGATCCGCGCAAAGATAATGTTTTAAGAATCCATGATAAACAGATCCACACAATAATTTGTTAAAAACATAATGTTTTAAGAATTCATGATAAACAAATCCACACAATAATTTGTTAAAAATCCATAATGAGATAGCTCGCGCAGCAGTATTAAAAACTCATAACATAGCAGCTTACATATAAGGAATGTTCTAGGAGGATTGTTGTTGTTTGAGTTTTGAATTCAAGAACAAGTTCATTATAATTCAGAATGCATGAAATAGTTTTTTTCTCTTCAATTCAATAGACTTCTATAGTACTTATATTTAAAGGAAATAACATTTCTATTTTTATTTTCAAGTGGAGACTTTCTTCCATCCTTATGATGTTACTGGTCTTATCATGATAGCGTCAAATCTCCATTCTCATTACACTTAAAGAGTACTTGTAACCAAATAAGTGGACGAGGATGAATAGGGTCTAGCTTTCATCTCAATCACTTTACACACATGGTGCATCAACAGGTCAGTCAGTATGGGTTCTAATATTGAAGGCCCTTTCACTATAGGCACGGATATATCGTTCCAAGCAAATTAGGTTCCATCCTCTTCATTCATTTCAACGCCTTCTCTCGCATAATACCAGCCCGCTAAGAATTAATTATCAGCCAAGTTGTTTGAGCAAAAGGCCTGATCTTACAGTTCCATCCTGCACTCTAATTGTCTCCGCTGCATGCTAAGCTGCGAGCGCAAGCTACAGTAAACAAAACTAACCAGGATACATAGCATGTACAATGACAGTTACATGGACGACTCCCTGTTGCATGAAAAATTAGTGGCGGCAGATTCATGAATCCCCAAAAATGCTGAATAACAGACCGAGCCTTGAAGAACATCTCCACTTCCTTCAGCCACCTTCGAGTACTGCCCCTTGGCTCAAACACGAGTATCACACTCTGGTAAACACATGCAAAAAGAAGCTCAGCCTGTACATAGTATATGAAAATGAACGAATAAAAAGCTTCACCGTGTCGTTGGACAAGTTGATTGTCCATAAACTATTTATACAACATTAAGAGGTGCGTGTCGTTGGACAAGTTGATTGTCCATAAACTATTTATACAACATTAAGAAGTGTGTGCAGGCGTGTGTGAGAAAGAGGAGGAGAGGCGAGGCCAACATCTGGGATGGCATATAAAACCTATTGTACAGATTGTTTTTGTTTTTCATCATTTCTACTACGGGATGAATGAAATTGCAATGGGTTTCTTCAATTCAACACCCGGCAATGGCATTCAGAAACTCATAGATGGCGTTCTTTTTAAGAGTGAGTTTTACTCAGTATGTATACCTGATAGGAAAATCTGACATAAAATTCATATAAAAAAAATCTCACAAGCAGGGAGACACGGGCATTGTAATGCTCACCAAAAACAGACACATAAAAATCATACATGTCCAGCTAAGGCTGGACTCTTCCATGTACCTCGTGAGGGAGGATCATTGCGAGGCACAGCCAGAAGAGGTAAGTCATTGGATGCTGGATTTCCAATTTGATGATTGACCACTTCATGTCCAACCCCAGATATTTGTACCCGCATTTGACACTTGCCAACAAGCTCAAACATGCAGATATCCCCTATCTTGATATTGTTGTCACGAACAAAGGCCATCCACCCTCCACAAAAAGTGTGCACTGCTCTACCTTTCGAGTCTGGGAGAGAATTCACAGTCCAGCATTGCCCTTGTAGACTACAAAGGATGACCTCTGTCTTACAGTTCGGAAGATATGCTGCTGAAAACTGGTGGGGGATTTTCTGCACGATGGCAACAGAGATTGTCAAACATCAATCTTGACAAAAGATAGCAAAACAGGAAAAACTCTTGAATGCTGTGGTCTTGTTTTATCGAATGATTGTGATTTCATTTATAGGTTTTTGGGATCTTCATATTTGTTTGGTTTCTGCTAAGCTTGAGTACTTGAATTAATGGTTCTTGAATGCTGTGGTCTTGTTTTGTCAAATGATTGTGATTTCATTTAAGTTTTTGGGATCTTCATATTTGTTTGGTTTCTGCAAAGCTTGAGTGCCTGAATTAATGGTGCACCATTAGATTTCATCATTAATCACGAATATGTCAGACAGTAAAAAACATTGAAAGATGCAAGGAAAAAAGGAGAACACTCACCAAAGTATATGAACCACTAACATTGAACTTCCTCATGATTCTAACAAAATTAGGAAAACCAGACGTAAAGGACCTGGCTGCTCTTTCTTCATCCAGTGCTACCAACCTTCTCAGACCAGCTTCAGCTTCTACACCCTTTCCATTCTGAATAGGTGGTGCCTCTGTTTTGTAATTAAGAATCCACTTTATGTTACAAATGGAATGGTTGGATGAGGCAAGTAAATATAAAACTACCAAGATCCTTCTGAAGATTAAAGAGAAGAATATCCCAAGTTTCTGTTAAACATGGTAAATTCTAAAGGTGAACGGTACATATAATTAGAAAGGAGATACTAACGTGCATAAATAAAAGCATGCGTGCAAACTTAGATGGAACTAAACTTTGTTTCACAAGTGATGCTTAGCAAACACGAGCCAACTTCACCAGAAATTCACTGAGAGAAGGGTAAAAAACAAATGAAAATCTGGGCTAGATGCAAGGCAACGCATATAATTAGAAAGGAGATTCTTTAATTGGAAGACCAAGAATAAGAACATCAGTGCCCTTACGCTGCTTTGCATCTCCAGTTCTTGACATAGAGAAGAGCACAGCACTGGCAGAATCCTTTGTTACATTTCCATGCCTTAAAATGCCAGTTGCTTGACTCTTCTCAAACTCTTTTTTATCACATATTTCTGCTTTGTTAATGAGTTTAGAATGGACCTTCAAGCAATTTCTTCTTGATTTCTTTGGAAAACTTTCAGTTGTATGTGCAATGGCAGGACACCCAGTGTTTTCCCCGTTAGAAACTACTTTTCCAGTTTCCATATCTGGGCCCTCCTTTCCAACTCGAAGAATAAAAACACGCAATTCATATTTGCGCACAAGTTCAAAAATACAAACATCTCCCACATTGATGTCATTGCTACGAACAAAGGCCATCCATCCTCCACATAAGGTATGGCTTGTATGCACTCTTGTAGCTGGTACAGAATTCACACTCCAAGATGCTCCTTTGATAGTACGAAGGATAATTTCTGTTCTGCAATTAGGAAGATGTGCCATTGAAAATTGATATGGTATATTCTGCAGCATTGAAACAGACATCAAAAGATAATTAAGAAAATGCCCTGTGTTTGTTCGACTACATTCAGAATGGATGCGAAGGAGTCCTAGCATGGTCCAATCCAATCTGTGATTCTCTAGGAACATTAATATACAGAATCTAAGAATTGCAGTAAAAACATCCAGAAAGATAAAAATAAGGAAAAAGCTTACCAGAGTGTATGATCCACTGACGTTAAACCGTTTCATGATCCTCACGAAGTACGGAAAGCAAGAGATAAAAGATTCAGCAACTCTTTTCTCACGTTCTGAAAAAATTGACACATGACCTCTGTCATGCAGCTTCAAGTCATCATCTTTGCCAAATCTTTTCCAGATGGGTACCTCTGTTTTAAGACATAGAAACCCATTGATTAGGACATGGAAGATGTTAGGACATTTCACGAAAATCTAACTTCATTGAATTCTTTTTGAAATCACAAAGGAACTAGAATAAGACATGTTTGCGCAAATATCTATTATAGTATTCAGTTCCATTAATTTTTAATGCAAACTTGGATTCAATCCAAAGTTTGATAGAAACATAGTTGGCTCCCATGCCTACTCTTCCAAGCAGAAACGCAAAAAAACAGATGAAACAGATTCTTATCCGCAAAGGACCCCCGACTGAAAGTTATCATCCTTACCTTGCTTTTCAGAGCATGCTTTTGATTGAGGGGGAGTGGCAAAACAATTGGCTGGATTCCCACATTGATTTGTTTCACGAGGTAAACTTTCTTCAGTTGTAAGGACCCCATTATGCTGGCACCCTCCCACATCACATGCGCTGATATGAGCTTCCCGGTTCTTTTCTATGTATGCTGAATGGAATTCAGAAGAGCCCTCTCTAACCTTTTTCCGTGCACAAACAAAATCTTTCTCTAATGATGCAGCCTCCTCCTCTCTTTCTCTCTTCTTCCCTGTGCTTTCACAAAATTCACTACAACCTTGGCTGCATTTGGAATGAAACGCAGCCTCTTTCTCACACGCACTTTGATCAAACACTTGCACAGAGAAACACAACTCGCCATGATACCTAAAAACCAAAAGGTCACCGCATTCCAAAAAATGATCTCTCACAAATTCCGACCACCCATTACTGAATAACAAATCGTCATTCTCCTGAGTTAATTCAGCTGTCCAAACATCCCCACTAGGGCCCAGCAGAGAAACTAATCCCGGCGTTTTCCCTTCCATATGCTTGATGAAACTGACAGGGATTCTCTGCCATGTGAACAATTTGGATTGCGTTAATCCTGTAATTAAACTGATATCAAGCAAATCCAAAATCTTCAACCAGTAAAAAACTACTACTACAATCATACACATAAAAGAAAAATATTAGCAAGAACTAATGCATGCATTAAATAGCAGAAAATGAACATTTCTATCTTTTCTTTTTTCCCACCAAGGAGTAGCAATCCGAAACTCAAGTAGGGTCTAAACCCTATTTTGATTCAAGGAACTATGAAAGGAAATCCAAAAAGAAACATGGGAATTTCATTTATGGGGGGGGATGGAGCGTGTGAAATGGAAAAAAAAAAATTACCAATCGCTCTGAGCTTAAATTAGAAGAGAAAATCACAAAGAAGCATGGACGCCAGACAATATTCACCATCTTCTCCGATTGATTATCTATGGTCATTTCTACTTCTCTCGAAATTACAAAATCAAACAAGAAAAACCATTGATAATTAATTTACAATAAAAAAATTGAAATCTAAGTAAATTATTGTCAGGAACCAAACACAAAAGTCATTTTAAGAGAGAGAGAGAGAGAGAGAGAGTAATGTTCTTTTAGTTTGATTGCGGGGAAAACAGGGTAGGAAATGGCATGGTCGTATTTCGAATTGTAGTGCCTTTGCCACGACCAGACTAGTTACTAAACTCTTACATTGGCCTGCGCCAGACTGCGAGTCGGGTTAAGTTTTTTTTTAGATACAAAAAAAAAAAATCAGGTGGTGGCGAAGTATCTTTTAAAAATAAAATAGATTTTAATTATGATTTAAATAATTTTTTAATCTAATATTGAAATGAAAAAATATTTAATTTATCTAAATTAACATAAATTGACTTGTAAATTTTATAGGAATAATCTTAAAAAAAACACAAATTATAAAGCATTATTCTAAATTAACTTCGATCAAGCTTGCGATGCAAATCATGCATATTATTAGATTTAATAATTTTTTTATTTAAAATTATTTTTTTCAACATTTAAAGATAAAATTAATAAGAAATAACATTTACTTAAAAAAACTTAAGTGAATTGAATTTATCGATCAAGCTTGCAATGCAAATCATGCATATTATTGGATTTAATAAATTTTTATTTAAAATTATTTTTTATTTAATTATATGATAATAAAATACATAATAATTTTTTTATATCAAATATTAAAAAAAAATCATGATAGATACATGATACTGATATAGTAAAAGTACATTAGATAATAAAATACATGATAATCTTTTTATATCAAATATTAAATAAAAAATCATGATATATACATGATACTGATATAGTAAAAGTACATCATGTCTTTTAGGCTTGAGCTAAATAAGAAACAAATAACGATAATAAATGACAAAATTGTATTTAAAACCATGAAAGATAAAAAAATTATTAAACAAAAAAAGTAATAGTTTGGATGCTGCAAATTAATTTATTAAACTTGCGACCTAGCTTATAAACTTAATCATACTCAATAATTTTTTCAACCAAAATATAAAATAAATAAAAAATACATAAAAAGAGTCAACTCCCACAAGCTTGGATATTAAATAAAAAAAACAACCCAAATACGGGTGCCTTCTAGCCCAACTTGCATGTATGAACTTGTCTTTGGTTTTCAAAATTTCTTAAAAAAGACAGAAGACATTGCCCACCTTGCTCTTTTTTAAAAAAAGAACACTACACATATAGTGTTGTCTATTTTGACAAAATACAATAACTTTTAATCCCCTGGAAAAACAAGGTTTCAATTTTTTTAGCTTAAAAACCTTGTTTATCACAAATATTTAGAAAACATCATAAACACCCTCTTAAATTCGTTTATAGTCTAAAAATTAAAAACAAAAATCTCTAAATCAAAATCAATTCGAGCACTCTCTCACAGTTAAATTTGCCTTATCGAGCAAGGAGAAAAAAAACACTGTGAAAAAAAACTTATCGACATTGATGTTAATATTTTTTATGGCTACAATTATAATTAGCGGTTACATTTGTTATCTGCACTAGAATTTGATGTCCTCCCTCTTTCTTTCCTTTCTTACAAGAAAAAATTGAAAGATAAAGTAATGAATTTTGATATTAAAATTGATTTTTTGACAATTAAAAGAACCAATCTCTTATAAACTAAAAAAGACAAGGGATCAAAATAATTTGTTTGCATGAAATTCAAAGTCATTGTCTATTTTATCTATCATTTTCACTTTGGTCTTCTAAATTTCAACCTAACCTTTTCTTCCAAAAAAATATACAATTGACTGCTATTTTGGAGTTGGAGTGACTCAATTATGCAAGAAAAAAAATCAAGGGCCAAAGTATATATTTTTTAAAATTACTATTACAATCAACAATTTTTTACGAGATAACAAACAATGTTTGCAATTATAGTGTTTTGTTCACAAGGCTTAGTTTTTGTTAATTTAACTTGGTCCAAGATTGAAACCAACTCAAAATTTGATCTGAGTTGAGTTTTTTAACTAAAAATTTAACTGGTTTGGTTAATTTAATTAGGATTTTAATGATATAGTTAAAGAATGTGTTTAGTATTACCGTGTATGGTACTTTTCAAAAGTATTTTTTTCATAAAAATACACTAAAATAATTATTTTTATTTTTTACATTAAAATTATTTTAAAATATTTTAAAAATATCAATTTAATGTTTTTTAAGTGAAATATACTTTTAAAACACACTAAAAAATATAAGCTACTACATTTTTAAATACTCATTAAATTTAAACGAGTCAATTCTAAGAAATTTCTTTTTGGAATTTCAAAATGATACTGTCTTAAATAAAATATCAATCCAATTGATACAGTGATTTACAAATTGACCCTCAATAATTTAAGGTTTTTTTCGAATTAGTTCTTGAACTAAGTTTCACAATTATGAGTGGAGATCGTTGACTGATATTATGGAGAGAGTGTATTCACGTGAACACATGGCGCGGAGGTGAAAAGCTGAGCAGCAGTGGTTCCCGGGCATCGCCCGCGGTTATCAAGGCTTTGACGGTAAAGCATTTTAAGTGTAATTTAAGAATATCAATTTCATTTTCTAATTATTAAAAATTACTATGTTCGGTGTATAAGAAAAATAAAATTCAGTATTGCTGCTGTCACGGAATTGACTTCTTCAATGTAAATTTTGGAATGCGAGTGAAAAACCCTTTTCTCGTTTGGTAATATATATATATATATGTGTGTGTGTGTGTGTGTGTGTGTGTGTGTGTGTGTGTGAAATAAAGAGGGTGTTTAAGATTGCGATGGTTTGAGACATGGAAAATGTTTTTGAAAATACATCAAAATCATAAAAAAATACTAAATTAATATTTTTTTTAAATTAAAAATACTTTTAAAGAACAATTAAAAACAAAAGCAGAGAAACTATAACGAACACAAGTTTTGCAAGGAAACCGGGCATCGTAATTTTGAAGGGGCGATAAAAAACAGGTAATTGGGAGCTCCAAAGCCATGCCGGAAAATCTGTTCTCCAGTTTTCAGGCCTCGAACACCAACAGCAGAAGCAAACTCTTACAGAACTTGATGAAGGGACTTAGAATATGTTCAATCTTCGATCTGCTCGACGCATTCGATGGACCATTCATTGCTTGCCAGGAATAATAATGACAGGGATGGCTATGTAAGAAGCGGGCCTCCGAGAATAATTGAAAAGCACAGATTACACTTTATAAGGATTTTGCCTGGTGAGTGCTTCAGAGTTATAAGCTCCGAGATTGCTGGTGCTAGTATGAATTAATAAGTTGCGTCACTAGAATTGCATATTCCACTTGTTTGAGGGGAAAAAATTACGATGATTTGGATTGACTTGAATTAAAGAATGATTTCAACATGCTCACAGCTATAAAATAGCATAACACCAATAGAGTATTATGTCAGTGTAAATACAATAAAATACTAATTTTATTAGTATAAAAATCATTTATGAATTTATTGATGAAAACATGCTTTCATGAAGTACCCCACCGCTAATTTCAAATCTGTCAATGATTTTTATACAAATGGCTATGGCGACAACTTGTTGTTATTGGTCCCTAGAAAACGAGCTGACCAATATATATCACTAAATTCATTGGTGAATATCGGATGAATTTTTAATGTATACGGCCATCAACAATATACATGTCTCACCAGTGGATTCGTTTACAGAATCACCGACAGGATTTTCGATGATTTTATTGGTTTATATATTAAAATAATTAATAATTTTATGTTATTTTTTAACAAAAATAATGATTATTTACCAACAAAAATTCTATCAGCATGGATCAAAACAATTAATAACTATACATAATTCTTCAATGAAAAGGTTGAATATTTACTAATGAAATTTTTATTGATGCACACCAAAACAATTAAAAACTCTTTATAATTTTTCAATAACAAGATACATCATTTCAACTACAAGTGTTTATATAAATTAATTACAAGCTTTAATTGTATGTGGAGGTGAGAGGGTCTCATCGGGTCTAAAAAAGGGAAGATAGTGACTTAAAAAGTATATCTCAATCTTCTCCAACTGCTTTTTTCGTTTTTCATACTTTCTCTTCATTTCAATCGTAGAAGCATTAACTCATTGTTCAATTAACTTCTCAATGGCTAATGATGATTGTCTCGAATAAAATGATTAAGTATCTACAGTTAAGATACTACAAGTTAATTTTATATTTCGTATTATAGTAATAGAGATACCATAAACATGATTCATATCGAGTTCATCAGTTACTTTAGTCTTTAATTACAAATTCAAATTTTATTTTGGATGGGTTAAAGGGTTATCTCCGTATTTAATATACATGTTAGCAGTTTATTATTATTATAAAAAAAAGAGTCAGAGATGACAATAAAAAAATATTAATCCAAAAAATATACAATGAATTTTAAAGTTTACATATAACAAATACATTTACTCGGTTGTCCATGAATTGTTGCATATTTTATTGTCTATCTTCCCTTCATCTATGTATTTTTACATATAACTTCATTAGAGTTGATTTACACCCAAGCTATGTAGCATGCAAGATAAATCATTAGTTAAATATTGTCATGTATAATCAATTAATATTTTTTTAAAATAGTTAAAAATAAAATAGGCTTTTACTAAGAGCTTTGCTTGGTTAGTGAAAAAAAAAAAAAGCAACCATTTCTAATATAGTCTTGTAAAAAAAGGGTTTTTTGTATGTTAACGAATATAAATATTTTTTTACAAATATTTTTTTAATATTTATCATTACAATATTTGGTTGGTGAGAGTTTTTATTTTTATATTTTATATATATATACATAGGATTCTGCATTCACTAATATTTTTTAAATTTAAAAGTGTAAAATTAAAAATACAATTATTGAAGTAAATTTTGATACATTAAACAACGATCATCAATTAGTTAGGAAACTTATCTAAAATATTGATGATGATATTTATCAACAAATATAATTATTAATTTAAAATTAAATTTTAATAATTATAAATAAATTCAAAATCTAATAACCGATTATTATTTGTGTAAAAATTTAATATTGCATCAAAATATAAATCAAGTAAATCAAATTAACAACAAGTTGTCGCATCCAACTAATTATCTATTATTTATTCAATTCCAACTTATTTAATATAAATTAATATATTTAATTAT